AATGTACTGCTATTTACTGAAAACGGTTCGCGTGCGGTTCCTATTTCAACCGCGCGCGAACGCGAAGCGTCCGTAACGGACCCGTTCGCATTTTACCTGTGATCGGCAACTTCATCAACCTCGCCCCAAATCAATCCACGTGGCTTATCGAAGAGAAGGCTATATAAGGAAAAGAATTGGAAGGATCAATCAGTATCAAGGAAATCTCTCCTTCGATCTCCAACTGCTCCGGCCACCGATGTCTGCCTCCAACTCCAACGGAATCGCCAAGTCCTCCAAGGCCAAAACCACCAATGCCGGATCCTCTGGAACCCCAACTCAAGAAGCTCCAACTGACACCGTCATGGAGGATCTCTCGTCCGGACCACTGCTTCTACTTCCGAAAGGTATAACTCAGTTTACGGTTGATAGTTTCAATAAAGTTGTTTCCTCTACTCTTGTTCAACTTGCTCATCAGTCTGTCCCGATAGGTCAATAAAACCTATCTGGGGCAGCACATTGTCAGGATCTTGGGGATTCGGATTGAGATTACTGGAACTGATTTTCTAGATGAAACTTTTTCAGCATGTTATTCGCTTCGACGTCTTTGCTCATCCCTTTTGTCTATTAGGTACGGAAATGTCGAAAAACTTTTTTTTTCAATTTCTTGAACCTAAATCACGGTGTTTTTTAAAGGACGTAAAGTAAATGTTCTCTAACGCGACTACCGTAGTTAAGAGCACTGAATATCGACGCGCATGCTTTAAGCTGGACTGCCGAGTCGCTACGTAGGTGTGCCTGCATTCTAAAAATGAGCGAATTAAAAAACATCCCGGGAAAAACAACGTGTAAATCACAAATCCTGAAAAATTGAATTTCAAAGTTTAGCATTTTTGAAGCCGTTCTCATCTCAGAAGAACAGGCAAATATTTCCTTTTCAAAACTTCAATGGCTTTTAATGCAAATCGCGGAAAATTGAAAAACCTATCGCTCTAATTTTTGAAAAATTGAAAAACCTATCAACTGGTGGTTTAAAAACACACAATTTTTAGTATTTCTATTGACAAAGAAATTAAACTTCTTATGAACTTTTTTGATTTTAAACTACCGTAAAACCGTAATAGAAGGGCACCCTAACTTTGAATTTTGATCAAATTTATCTTGGTATCTGTTATAGGTATCAAAAAGTTGATAACTGATAAAATGTTGACGATGTTTTGATAAATATTTTGTTAGTTGACTACTTCTTGACATCTTTTACAGATAATGAGATATAAGGGCTCAAACTTGACAAGGCCCTTCTATTACAGGTTTTAGGTATTTGAGACAATAACTTTTATGCGAATCCTAAACCAACTACCGTATTCCCCATTCTTTTTTACCCCTTCCATTTTTTTGTCTCCAACGAAAAAATCCAGGATACATGACCAGAATGCATTAGTTTTTCGTGTCCAGCAGTGTCCATTTCTTTTTCCCATCCTTCATATCTTCTTTTATTTCAATTTCAGTCAACTCATCTCATCCGGAGAGATAGAAGAGGCTTCTCCTATCTTTTGGAGCATGAAACAATTAAGGCTTCTGCTCTCACTTTTCTCTCCTTTTCTCTCTTTTTTTTCTCTTCTAGAATCTCTTCTCAACACTATTTCTCTTCTTTTCCCTCTTCTTCTAAATCCTCTAACCACTGTGGCTCCCTAGAAGACGTGTGTGTGCTCCGAGAGCACTCAACAATATTGAAAAGTGGGCGGAGCCTCTGGGACGCCTTCTTCTCTAACGTCTCCTTCTCACTCTGCTCTGGCGCCGAAAAAAAAACCACGAAGGCTGGTCAGAAGCAGCTAAACGGGAAGAGCGACTACTTCTCTCTTTTTGATACTATTCTCAACACTTCTAAAAAGATGCCGTCCTCATCCATCGTTACACAATCGCTTCTCGCTGTTGCACTTTTGTCTGTAGCCATGGTCGAGGCTGCTCCATTGGTAAGTATTCATGAGTTTTATGGGGGCTGGGTCCCATACACTGGGGTCTCTTGGGGATTAAAGGGACTTCTTAAAAGTTATACTTTTTATGTAAAACTTGATTGGTGGGCTACCTTCTTGTCCGTTTCCGTTTGCTTAAGCTTGCTCGTCTAATGTCTTTAGAAATCAGAATTTGTTTTTTAGTTTTTTCTTCTTGCCAAAAATACATAAAAACAATTTTATTTTCCCACCGGAACAATAAGAATCGTCTCCAGTACCCGGTACACTGGGGAACATATTGAGAATCAGACTTTCTTATAAGAAAAATAAGAATTGAAAATAGTTTTCCCGAAGTTCTGTCCCTCGAGGAGTTGAACTTGTGGGCTTCCGCTCGAGGTGCAGCGCTGCTACCGACTGAGCCATACGGGCGAACTTAGAAAATGTGCTCAATTCCGTATATAAAAGTGGGCCTGATAGCTTAGGCTGCCGAACGATAGGATAGACAACTGCTACACTGATCACAATACAAAATAGTCATCTGACTCAAAAAATTTGTACTCTAACACAATTTTTTGTTGATTCCAGTTCAATAAGCTTCAGATCAAATGACGTTGAGTTGAGTCAAGAAAAAATGTATGTTTGATTCACTCCCCCTTGACACAATTTCCGGTTAGCTACGTCATTATGTATAATGTGATAAGATGATACGGATCAGGTTATTGTTATGTCATTTCTATAGAATATAACTCTTTTCAGGAAATGGGAAAAAGTCATTTCTATTGTCTGAGGGAGGTTTCTAGAAAGGTTTCAAAAGAGCACCTGCTTCCATTTTTCTCGACAACGCATTTCCGGTCAAATTGCAACACGACATCTTGTATACATTGCTTTGACATGTTAAAAACACAATGTGAAGGGTTTTTTTGTTGAGGAATTCAGATTCTAGGGATAATCCAAAGTGCTAGAAGATCCGATTGCCAGATGTGTCAAATGTCGGCATTCTAGGAATTTGATGACTATCCTTAATTCTATTCCTCTGAGCTCTTCTGGTCACATTTGAACTATAGAAAAAAACCGAAAAAAAAAGTTGCCACCTAGCGGACTCGAACCCGCGATGGGCAAAACCACTACGTGTTAGCCACTACACCACGAACGTCACAGCGAAAGTAGCGTGCGAAGTCGTATAAGATGAAAGCCTTTTTCGTCACTTTTTGACCCCTGAAAGGCCAACGGTTATTCTCTGGCTACCATAACCCTTGTCCGAATTCGAAACGAAGAAAAAAAAACGTTTTTGCATACTAATTCCCATCTCTCCTTCTCCCATCTTGTTTCTTTTAACACTCAAAATAAGAAAACTAAAATTTTGACATTTCCTATTTCATCGGGACTTCGATCCCTAACTAACAAATTAAGCACTTTATGGCTTCTCTTTGAAATCATAGAAATTTGATTTTACAAAATGTTTTTATGGAAAAAGAAGATTTTTGAGCTTTCGTTCTCTCAAGGGGTTCATGGAGCATGTTGAAAGCAAAGAAAAAACCGGAAAGTACATTTTGAAGAAAAAAGAAGAAGATGCGGTTCTTGGATTTGGGGAGTAGAAAAAAAAGAAGAAACTTTGAATTAGAAATTAGAGAAAAGAGAAAAAACGGGGCGTTTTCTAGCTTTTTCCCTAGAAAATATGCAGGAGAAAAAGAAAAATACTATTCGAAATTCATGAGTATTTTTGTGGAAACAAGGGGGATGTCTGGAAAAAGCTGGTGGTCATCATAAGGAAATTTTTTTATTGAAAAATATGTTAAAAGAAAATAAAAACTAAGAAATTATTTGAACCTAGAGACTCTGCTTTCAGATGCCCACAATTTTTATAAACCGAGGAACATCCCACAGGGACGCGCATAATTACGCGGTACTAAGGTTTGAACTCGCATAACTTTTTTTTTAAGAGTTGTATTGAGCTCAAATTTGGAGTGCGAAAAGCCAAATAATTCATCAGTTAACAGCCCAAGTTCCAAATTATTTGATCAACTTTTAACTGAGCTATCGCTTGTCAACGTTGCTTTTTTATCTTTGACAAATTTATCTTTGAACCATCACCACAATACCTAGACTTGAGGAATCGCTTTGAAAATTTCTGCAGCTTTGAATCAAATTATATTTTTACCGATTTTCATGCTTACAACAAACTTCTGTCTAAAGATATGCTTGTTTTTATCAGCCTGGGTAATTCTGCTAAACTCTGAACCCGTAAACATTTCCAATCCCCCAAAAACCACTAAATTCAATTCAGGTACATCCCTTTTCCCCATTTCTATACATTTTTTCTATTTCCTCCAGACGAAGATAATCCTGAACCTTGTTTTTCCATCCACCCTCTCTCTATCTTTTGTTTTCGGGTCTTGCCCCCTTCTGGTCATATATAAAAACCCATTCTTTCTTCTTCCATAATAAATAGATATCACTTGAATGACTTTATAAGGTTCTATTGGCTCGGCGGCTCGCTCGGCTCACTCTGCTGAAATTCAATTATTTTTCTAGAGAAAGGCCAATGAGCACAGCGACCAGATGGGACTCATGATCTTTGCAGGGTTCTTAATTGGTGTTTAATTTGATATTGAAAATGAAAAAAAATGGTCTGGGACGGAAAAAAGTAAACATAGACTACTGAGAATAATTATCTTTAATACCCAATTTTCATTACAGGAACCGGCCAAAAGTGCAGCGAAAAACACGAAAACATCGGCCGCCAAAACAAAAGGATACGGTAGGTTTTGAGGGAGAATTTTGGAATGATGGTTGTATGGGTTCAAGCACAAAATAACGGTTGATGAAATGAAATAGTTTTCTAATGAGTTTGAAACAGCAAAACTTTTATTCAAAAATTGGAAAATACGATTTTGTGAAATACCGTTCCTTCTATTTTGAGTCAGCTTATCTCAATTTATATAAGAGATAACAAAACTTTGTCAACTGATAAAATGTTTATCATAATATCAGCAACATTTTATCAGTTGACCACTTTTTTATATCTTTTACAGAAACTGAGATAAAGACTCAAAGTTAAGAGGTCGGCAGCCGGCAAGCGTCGACTTGTCAACTTTGAGGCTATTTATCTCGGCTCCTAAGCAAAATATCAAAAAGTGATCAACTGACTGACAAAATGTTTGCCATGATATCCCCAAAATTTTATCTTTTGATACATTTTTGACATCTTTCACAGGAGCCGAGATAATTGAGCTCAAAGTTAAGAGGTTCGGCAACCGACCGCGTAGATCGACCGGCAAGAACCGACTTGTCAACTTTGAGCCAATTTATTTTGGTTCCTGTAAAAGATATCAAAAAGTTGTCAATTAATAAAATACTTCTGATGTTATGATAAACATTTTATTAGTTGACCACTTTTTCATATGTTTGACAGAAACCGAGATGAATTGGCTCAAAGTTCAAAGTTAAGGGGCCCTTCAATTACAGGTTTTATGTGTTTGACTTTAGTGAAGCAATTAATTTTATTAGAAAAAAAACTTTTTGTTTTGAGCATTCACCAATCATTTTCAATATACTGTAATTTTAAAAAAGTGCTGAAACGAAAAAATTGTGAAACCAACTTTTAATTGAATCTCTTTTCAGTCCCCACCCCAAAAGCGCTTCGACGTGGCAAGCGAAACGTAATTCTGGAAGAGATTCCAGATGATTCTGAACCAGTTTTGGGAACTGAAGAAGACGTGCTCCGCGAGCAACTTGCTGGTTAGTTTTCTTTTGGTCTTTTGAGAAGCATGACGTGAGATTGGCTTAGGTATCGGATTACATAATTGAATATTTAGAGTGTTGAGGGTTTGGACTAAAGAAGGAATTTTGAATTTTAAACCAATTCGAATTACCGTAATCCATGAAAATTCAGATAGCATAAATCCTAATTTATTCCTATCTCTTATTAGCATATCCGTCATCATCTTTACTCTATCTTTGCAAGATTTCGTGCGATTCATAATCCTCCTAATCGAATCTAAAAATTGAATTAAGAGATTATCTTTTTAGGGTTTTCAACTACAAACTACAAAATTTAACATCATTTTTTCCAAAAGCTCAAGTTACTTTTCTAGTGCTCTTTTTGCTCTTTTCCTCTGGTTGCTTTTCCCACGAAAATTAGTCAATCTTTTTGGTTTTTTTTTCTGCTTCACTCGACTCTAATTTTCCATTCAAAAAGCCAAAAATCAGCTGTTTTGACAGAAGGATTGGAGACATATGTATTATTTTGTGTTGACTGAAAAAACAGCAAATTTGATGGAAAAGTGAGAGAGAGAGAGAGAGAGAGAGAGAGAGAGAGAGAGAGAAGGGTGTGTCTGGAAAATATTAAATTGGTTTAGAAGGTGTGCTTTAGAATTCCGAGAAATGATTAGATTGGATATATGGGAATTGAATTAGATTGGATATATGGGAATTGAATTAGATTGGATATATGGGACATTAGATTGGATATATGGGAAACACAGAATTGGGAATATTAAAAAAGATGAAGTTTTTAGTCGATTTGTCAAACGGGTCATACCATTAACAGTCTAATAGAATGCTCTAAACTTTGAGCTCATATATCTCCATTTCTGTAAAAGATATCAAAAAGTAGTCAACTAACAAAATCTTTTTGATATTACGATAAACATTTTGTCAGTTGACCACTTTTTGATATCTTTCACAGGGATTGAGATAATCGAGCTTGAAACACGGCACAGCTAAGCTGCCGACCGCCTGTTGAAAATTTTGAGAATTTTGAAAATTTTGAAAACCTCTTGAAAAGCTCTTGAAATTTTTGAGTTTATATATCTCCGTTTCTGTAAGAAATATCGAAAAGTGATTAACTAACAAAATATTTGTGAAATGTTGATAAGCATTTTGTCAGTTGAACACATTTTGATATCTTTCACAAGAACCGAGATAAATTGGCTCAAAATCGATTAGATTGATTGTTTACAAAGATGGAACCAATTAGACAATGTTCTGAACTTATATCGGTTCTAGATACATATTTCCAGACCTAGTTTTTTTTTCATAGAATACCATAAACATTTCTATTTTTTGAAAATGTTTAAACATTCTTAAAGCTTCTCTTTGAGAATGCACGCCGTATTCCCTCTAATAGAAGCCCACCGAAGGCTTCAACTTTGAAGTCAATTATCTCGGCTCCTATAAAAGGTATCAAAAATTTGCCCACTAATAAATTGTTTATCAAAGTAACACCAATGTTTTATCAGTTGACACATTTTTGATATCTTTCACAGAAAATGAGATAATTGAGCTCAAAGTTGACAGCTTTGGTGGGCTTCTATCAGAGGAAATACGGAATTTTGATTTGGCAGTCAGGCCAAACCATCTGTCAGTTGCTTTTCACAAATCATAGACTTCGTGCAATTTTCAAATTCAAACTTTTCCCGAATTTCTATTTTTGGTGATTTCTCTCTAAAAGTTCTAGAGTTCACTATAAATAATTTATCTGTAATCATGATCCACCTCCTCATCTCTTCTTTTCCATGTTTGTTTCTCCTCAAATAATCTATCATTTTTTGCTTTCATCTCATCAAGGACCCCTGATATTGCCCTCCGGATATTTGGGTTGACATTCATTTCCCAAACACAGATATTTTCTTTTTCTTGGAGAAATAGTATACAGTTTTGAGAGGGTGCAGAGAATGCCATAGGAGAGCACTCTACGAGGAGCCAAATGAGCATAAAAAAGGACGAAGATTAAAGTTCTTTTTTATGGGGTGGATGAAGGGACCAATAAATGAGCAGGGAAAAGGGGAGATTATTTTGGAGGGATTTCGAGGGGAATATTACAACATTTTTGCAACGGAAATAGACTCGATTTGATGGGAAGGGGAAGGATGGGCAATTCGAAACAGACATTATCTTGCGAAATTTTGAAATTAGGGAGCTTCTATTTTGTTTTTTAAAGGAGAGAAGATTTTTCGGAGTGTCTTTGGAGTTGAGGTGTACGATGTTCAGTGCTCACAGCTAGTTGATATCGTGCCACTTTCATCTACCCCCTCGTTTGGTTTCTTCTGTTTGCCCCACCGTAGCTCAGCCGGTAACAGCGCGGCACCTTGGGCAGAGCCCCACAAGTTCAATTCCTAGCGGTGCTTTTTTGAACGGAAATTCGAGGAAGTTATTTTTTCATGTCGTTGTTGACACCTAAACTCCTAAAAATTGAGAATTACTCATTTCTTTTCCTTATTAAAACGCCTTATTGTCATCATGATCCTTCGTATAGAATCTAATCCTTCTCCTTATTTTTCTTCATCATCCCTAACAAAAATTCTATTCACTAATTCCATGACATTCAAAATAATGAATGGTTTCCTATTCAATGATTCATCTTTTTTTCAGGTCTCAGCGATGACCAACTCGCCGTTCTTGCGGAAATCGTTCAAAACGAAATCGACCAGTACAACCCGGAAGCCATTGAAGCATATGAGATCGTCGAGCTTCCAGAATACTGTGAGTTAGAGAACGGAGAGAGCACAAAGGCAAAGTAAAGGTTACAGTAACCCAACCAATCGAATATATGCCACGCGATCGTCGCTCGGTTCCAGTCTTCGAGGCGTTCGATGAAAATGACCTACCGGAACAATATGATGATAACCAAGAGGTACGGTATCTCCATGTTTAAATTTCGAACTGCAAGTCAAGCCAGCGGAGCGCGATTGCGCGAAGCCAATTTTTCAAAATTTTCGTACAGACATAAACAACAAAAATCATAATGAAAACAATTGAAAACTTAAAAAAAATCAATTTTTGCAGCTAATCTTCGTCCCAGAAGAAGCTCTTCTAGAAGCCGCTGCTGAGGAACAAGACGAGCTGGAACTCCGTCAAAGGATAGCTGAAATTGCAACGATTCTCAACGAGAGAGCCTCCCGACGATTGAGATTTATCTAAATTTTCTTTTCTGCTTCTTCTATTTCCTTCTTTTCCCGGTAAACACCAAACAATTTGTCTCCACACATTTTCAACGGTTTCCCTCTCTCCGTTTTTTCTCCTTTCCCGGCTTTTCCCCCTTTGCTCTGATATATTTCAAGTTCTCCCCATCAACACCCCACACCAAGTCAAATACAAAAATCAGCACAATCTCGATCGCCTTTTATTGAGTCTCGAAAAGTTTATTTTGTAGAAGAAGAGAGTGAACACAAGCAACAACGCAAAATAAACTGTTTTCTACCGTTGATAATGGAAAAACGAGACAAATTTAAAAAGAATAAAAAACATGGGTATGGAGAGGAATTCATCAATAAATTAGTAAATAGGAGATCCTCATACTTCTGGATTGTACTCATTTGGTTGTGGGGATGCTCCTGAAATAATTTCCTCAATTACTTTCCAGAAGAATCTTCCAAACCATTTTGCTCCACCGGCACAGTGGTGTTATAAACATAATCTCCAATATCTTCCTCTTCTTGTGGTGGAGTACGTGGTTTTGCATACGGGTTGTACTCTTGATACTGAGCAGTTGAGGAGTCTTCTGAATATTATTCATTTGTGTACCTATCGCAATATAATCAATGATCTACCTGGCTGATAATCACTGGCTTCCTCTCTTTGCTGCGTATAGTATTGTTGACTTTCTGCTGCTGGTTGACTATAAATCACTTGGTAGTTCATTTTTTTTTGTTGATAATAGGGATCTTCCAAATGCGCCGTCTCCGCTTTCGCCTGCTCAACTGTGGGGTAGAAGACCTAAAGATAAAATTAGAAGACGTGGAAAATAGAAGAAAAGCCTGACCATGTGCTGAAGGCTTCCTTCTCCAACTCCAGGAATATTGAAAATCTGCAACATTCCTTCATCGCCAACGGATACCCCAGGGGGCATCGTGCTCAAAGGGGGCATACACTCATAGGGGTCACTAACTCATAGAGGGCATCCTGAAGTTGTCTCTTAGGGGGCATCCCACCATGTCTCATAGGGGGCATCGGACCAAATGCTCCCAGGCGGCATTGATAGTCTCATAGGGGTCATTGAGACCAATTTGAGTATATGATTCTGAACATGATGAATTTTTGTTTTTACATCTTTTTCGTAGTTTTTTGATGAAAACAAACACAATTGCAGACTATTGAAGGTGTTATTTCGGAGGGTCAACTGAGTAGAATTTCTGCCAAAAATTCGGGGTACAACTCATTTCATTCAGGGGTACAACGTTTGTGATTCGGGGGTACAGTTTTTTTTGAGGGAGTTTCTGAATTCCTGAATTTCAGAGCTTGAAAATCTCAGAATTCTTAGAATTTCAGAACTTTGAAATTTCAGTATTTCGGAATCTGAGAATTTCGGAACTTCAGAGTCTGAGAATTTCAGAATGTTAGAATTTCAGAACTTCGAAATCGCAGAACTTCAGAATCTCAATATTCTTGAATTTTTAAAAATTACGACAGAAAATTTTCACTTCTCATTGTCACATTGTTCTATTTGATTTTGTGTCATATTTTTCCGTAAAACAATCTTGACAAGTTTTACAAACTCAGGACTTTAATGCTTAATTTATGTTTTAAAACTCAGTCGATACTTTCCTCTACCAATTTTTCTCAATTGCTTTTCTTCTCAATCCTAGTTCATTTTCTTCTGTTTCTCAATATTCCTTCGGTTTTTCCCAATTTTCCCTTTTTTCTCAATTTTTTGTTTTTTCCCAATTTTCCTCAATTTTCGTGGTAATTGAATTTTTTCTTATTTTTTTCATAATTTTATAGATCATTGAATGAAGGAAACAATCACAATTTAGTGATTTACACACAAAAATTCAAAAATCCCAAAAATTTTTTTCATTCCCAATTTTTTATTCCCAATTTTATGTTCCCAATTTTATATTTTCAATTTGTCAATTCCAATTTTATTTTCCCAATTTTTCGCTTTGATATTTGAAGAAATGAAAAATTCAAGTGTAAGATACAGTAAGCAAAACCAGGAGGTTGAGTCTCCGACAAGGGGCTCATACCGACTGGTCTTTACTATTAAAAATCACCAAATTCTGTGTATGTGTGTCCGCTTGTTCCCGGTTCGCCAACGAATGGAATCGGGATCCCTTTCCCAGCGTTTAGAGGGATCAACTGGAGAGTTAGCGAAGGATACCTCTTAAAAATCGAGAAAAAAAAATCAATTTATTCAGCTAATTATCGTCCCAGAAGAAGCTCTTCTAGAAGCCGCTGCCGAGGAACAAGACGAGCTAAAACTCCGTCAAAGGATAGTTGAAATTTCAACGATTCTCAACGAGAGAGCCTCCCGACGATTGAGATTTATCTAAATTTTCTTTTCTGCTTCTTCTATTTCCTTCTTTTCCCGGTAAACACCAATTCAACACATTTTCAACGGTTTCCCTCTCTCCGTTTTTTCTCCTTTCCCGGCTTTCCCTTCGCTCTGATACTGTATTTCAAGTTTTTCTCATCAACACCCCACACCAAGTCAAAACCAAAAATCAGCAACAATCTCGATCGCCTTTTATTGAGTCTCGAAAAGATTTATTTTGTAGAAGAAGAGAGTGAACACAAGCAACAACGCAAAATAAAAATGTTTTCTACCGTTGATAATGTTTATTCACAAAGTTTGAGACACATTGATTATCAGGTTCTGGAAGATCTCGGAGATAGGCGCAACGCTCGATTTCGTCCGGGTTCCAACGAGTTGATGGACGTATTCGGAGACTGAAAATTTAAAATTTCGAAAGGAAAACTACCGTAAAAACTCTAAGAGAGTGTTATGCAGATCGTAAACTTCGAACTCATGTATCTCGGTTTCCATAAAAGTTAGCAAAAGTGTGTCAGCTGATAAAACATTTATCATTATATCAACAAAATGTTATTAGTTTACAGCTTTTTGGTATCTGTCACAGAAAAAGAGATATATGAGCTTAAAGTTGGCGGTCTGGGCGGTACTCTATTATGGTCTTGCAAAGAGGCTACAGTAATCTACAGTAATCTTAACGAAAATGGTCCCAAAAAAGCCGGAAAAAAACAAAAAAAAATCCTCAAAAATAGCTGAAAAAGCCAAAGACTGTGGCCGAAGGTCCCATAACGACGACTACAGTAACCTGAGAACATTTCTGTTCATTTCTGTTCCGGTTTTTCACTGCTTTTCTGTTGTTTTTCTAATTGAAAACACACGAAAATCTAGACAAGAAACGCAGAAAACAAAACTATTTCCAGGTTACTGTAGTTGTCGTTGTGAGACCCACAGCTCCGACTTTTGTGATTGAATAAAATTGACATACCAATTAGTGATAAGTTCCGCTAAAGACTCCGGATAACCATCAATCGGATCCACTGTGATCTCTTCATAAGATGAAAATCCATTCAAGTATTCTTCATGGATCGGTCCCATCGCCAGCTCCCACAGCGTTAATCCAAAACCCCAAATGTCGACTTTTTCACTGAAAATTAAAAAAAATACTTCTAAAATGGTATTTTCTAACCTATAATCCTGACCCATTAGTTGCTCAGGTGCCTGATACCATTGGGTTCCGGCCGCTGAAGAAGCGATTCGATACGTGTTGTCGATCCTCTAAAAATTCAATGAATTTGGGAATCTCAAATTTCGGAAAGCTCACTTTGGCCGCACCAAAATCACAAATCTTCACATCTCCTTGTGAATTGACTAGGATATTTTCAGGCTTGATATCCCTGTGGATGTACCCGGGTCCACTGTTCCACACATGACGTATCGCTCGTATCAGTGATAACGTAACACTTTGATGAACAGGGAATGGAAGAGCACCGAATTGACGGAAATCTCCACGGTTCATGTACTCAAGCACCAGCTCTTTTTTCGTTGAGCTCACTTCACATCCATAATAGCCGACAACGTATGCTGATTTAGAGCACTGAAAATTTATTTGATTTTGAATAGAATTAGGTTCAAATTTTCAAATTTTTTAAATACGAATTTTCAAATCAATTCAATTACCTCTTCATAGGCAACAATCTCCTTCTCATACTCCTTTTTGTCATTGTTTTGTGATAGAATCGTCTTGATCACATACCATTTATCTGATTTCTCATGTCGAGCCCTTAACTTACAGGTTTTCCCCGTTCTTTTGACCTAATTTTTTACATTATAACTGAGCCATGAACCCCATTTCCCACATATTTTCCACGTTGAAGTTCAGAAGGAAAAATTCGATGATGATTTTCAGAGTTCGCGGATGACGGTTTTCTAGATTGAACCCTCTCCAGAATAAGAATAATTTCTTCGTCTTCTGTTGTGTTTTCAAGCCTTTTAATGAATTTTTCAAAATCATCCGCTCCCCGAACTTTCAAAATAGCACCATCTACATCGTTATATTTTATTTTGAAGTTTTCAGAAACTTCAGGTATCTTCAATTCTAGCTCAGCCATAAAAATGTCTCGATGTTGCCAAATGTGCCCAGGGAACTGGAATTTTAATGTTCTAATAATATAAAGTAGATCTTCAAAAAAACCTGCACACTTATGGGTTCTGCTAGCTCGTCAGCTTCCAGTTGATAGTAAACTAGAAAAGTACGATATTCAAGCATAATTTCAGCTGTGTGAAAGTAGTGAGACCAGCCGGAGAAATAGGGTCTACAACAAAAAAAAGCGTGGTGATGCCTTTTGTCTTATCTATTTGCTCTTTCTGCAGACTCTTATCTTTTGTACGAAGGATGATGCACTTGTCATTTTGAATGGAGGAGTGGGATTTGGGGTTCGTCTTGATTGTTTTCAGGTCATGTTTGATTTATATATTTATTAACACCAAATTTTTTATTTCGACGACGAATAATTTTATTTTGTTTAAATTTTCAAATTTTTCTTGAAGTGGGGAGGAGCAGCACAAAATAAATTAGATTTTCGATCGATCGGATATGATCATTGATCTAAATTGAATAAAAATTATATAAGGGTACATCAAATGGAGAGAGATCCATTAAAAAAGAGTAAAAGAACAAGAAGAAGAAAAACAAGATAGATAGAAACAGGAGAGGAGATAAAAAAAAGACGACGGTCACATTTTTTGGGTCAATTTTTTTTGGAAAATTTTGGTTTTGTTTTGATTTTCGTCGCAGTTTTGTTCATTTAGGGAATTCGATTTTGGGTTTTTTCTGGTTCAATGTTTGGATGAATTTTTGGAATTTTAGTATGGCCGGAATCTGAAATTTTTCGTTATTTGGTTTTTAGTTTGATTTTTGATTTTGAATTTTTCAAATTTTAGCTTATTTCTAAAAAGAAATAGCCGAACATCTTACCCTGCCGGATGTCCACCTCGTCCTCTTCCCATTCCACGTCCTCGTCCTTCAAATCCTCCACGACCTCCACGGAAACCCCCTCTGAATCCACCACGACCTCCGCGTCCACCTCTTCCAGATCCCTCTTCTCCTTCCTTCTTCTCGTCATCCTCAGTCTTGCCCTCTTCGCCTTCCCCTGACCCGTTTACTTTCAAGTGAGCTGGAGTGGTATCTTCGTGGATCTAGAAACAATCGTTAGCGTTACCCTATAACTTTATCTTACCGGCTGCAGAATCCGCGACAATTCTTCTATAACAGCAGCAACACGAGCATAGGCGATATAAGCTGGTGCAACAGTCTCCACTTTAACGTGAAGTGGTCCACTGAAATGGGCGTGTTGTGGGTCTCCGGACGCCAAGAGCTCAGCTTCCTTCTCACGATCCTTTGTTGAGCCACGACCGAGAATGTAGATGTGACATTTGTGAGTCTTGCATAATGTTTGAAGAGTCGCTCCTTTTGGTCCGAGAACTTTTCCGATGAAGTTGAACTGAACAAAACAATTAATGATGCATAGGAGGAAATATAGAAAACTTACATTTGGGTGACGATAGATTGGAATGAGAATCTTCTTGCATACTTTCACTGGTTTGGCAATGTCAACCTCAAGCCATTCTGGATCAATGTTGTTCTCCAGTTTTTCCATTTCTCCTTTCAGCAGACGTTTCGCGTTCCGGAACTGATCACCTGATACTTCTAGTGAGCCCACTTCGCGGTGTATTTCACCCAAAACCGCCTGGATCTCGGCATCCAGTGGTGATGAGATCTCTTGTGGTGGGTAACCTCCGCCTCCTGGGTACATTCCGTAACCACCTTGAGCTCCATACGGATTGTACGGATCGTAGCCTGCACCATAAGCAGCGGCGTGAGCTGCATAGGGATCTTGTGGATATCCTCCATGACCACCACCACGTCCTCCACGTGGTGGATATGTGCCGCGACCTCCTTGATATGGATCCATTGTTCTTTTGAGATCGTTGAGAATAAGTTGAACTCTGAAAAACGGTATTTATGAATTAATTGAAAAAGATTAGTGAAACCAAAGTCGAAAGTTATAAGAAACGCATCAGAATAAGATAAAATATTTGTAGAAGGCATCACTATTGGATGAAAAACTGTATAAAATTTGGATGAGCGAAAACTAGGTCCCTGTAATTGATTTATACATAAAACAAACAAGAAATCTTGCATAGGAACGTTCAGAAATCTATCTTATCGATTTCTGTTTTACTATGAGCAATTAAAATCAATGGGAACATAGAAACGCCGTGAATTCTGGAGGAAATGGGTCGGAAGACGTCGGCGTTCGATTCGAATTTTGCAAAAGTCCGCGGGTGCGCACTTACTGAGTGTGCAAAACTGCGTCGTGGTTACTACGGAGTTGTCGTAAGATCTAGTGTTTTCAGTAGAAAAATAATCGAAATTGGCTGAAAATGGCAACTTTCGCATCACGGGATTTGCTGAAAAGTAAAGAAGACGATGAAGATAATGACGAAAAACAAGAAGACACTCCGGGTCCGTCTGAAAAACCTGAACAGGATGTGTTGGGAATCGTGAGAACTGGACCGAAAAGTCTTTCAACTGGAGAGACATCTTCATTGTTCAAACTGAAAAATGAACTACTTAAAAGGAAAGACCGAATTGAAGCTCAACACCTTATTAAGAGCAGTGGAACTCATGTCTCTGGAAAATCTGTTTGTTTGATTCTCGAGTATTCATTGAATATATAATTTTTGCTCTTTTTTAGAATCTCCTGAGCACAAAAAAAGAAGAACGGGAACGTCAAGCAAAGGAAGATGAAGCTAGAAGTCGGCAGATCGCCAAGAACGAGCGAGCTATGCGTCGAGAAGAAGAGGTTGAACGAATTCGGGCGGCTGAGCAGAAGCTAAAAGATAAATCCGAGTTGTATGATAGAATGCAAGAAGGAGCAGTCAATTTATCGAATTCAGAAGATTCTTCGTTTGATTTCTTAGTGGATTTTGGTACGAAGCGAAGAAAAATCGACGAGGACAGAGCGATCGAAAGAGATAGATTCAGAGAGCAAGAGACTGCCGCTCCAGTTGGATTCGGATGGGGTCCAGTTCCAGAACACTATCATCACAGCGAAGGTAATTTTTTGCGTATTTCATACTTGAAAACGGGCCACAACGGACCCTGCCATAGTTTCCTTCAGGTCCTATATTTTGAAGACCAAATCGACCGCGTAGCTCGGGCGGTTTTAGCTTTGTAACATTGTTCCTAGTTAAAATACAGATTTCCAAATAGTATCATTGTGTAGAACTCGTCTGGTTCTAATTTAGGTGGGCCAAAAATATAGGCTCAAGAGAAACTATAGCACGGCTCGTTTTCAATTATTGATGAACGAATTTTCAAAACTTTTCAATTTTCAGAACAACGTGTCTACGGAACATCTCATATGCGCCTGTCGATGAACGCTAATAAACGACGGGACGACATCGAAAAACTGTTGGACATGTCGAAACAAACTGATGCAGAGCTAGCGAAACGTAAAGAAGCGAGAAAGAAGAAAGATAAGGAGCGAAGAGATAAACTGAACAAAATGAGAGTGAGAAATGGATTAGAGCCTTGTAAGTTGAACTTTTGGTTTTTGAGAAATTCCTTTTCTGTTTCAGTGCCCTCTCCGCCCCCAACACCTCCTCCACCAGAGATCGATTTGGATTCGATTCCACTGCCTGGCCAGAAGGAAACTCCAGAAGAGCGTCATGCTCGTTTGATGAAGTCCGATCGTGAATGGGACAGAGGAAAAGGGCTTTACACGACATGGATCGAGAAGGAACGAGACGAACGCGAAGATGAATTCCGACCACCGGATTCATACTTCCAGTGAGGCAACAATTGCTTGTAAATATCGATTGTTTATAATAAAATTGCTTCAATTGTACATAAGTAGCTGAATATGAACTAATAGATTCAGATCTGAAAAATTCGAAAAGAATCGTGAGGATCAGATACGAGAGAGGAAGAGATACGGAATGATGGATGGCTTGAAACTACTACCGAGGCGCTACAAAGGGAAAATTACAGGAACAAAAAGTGGGACAGGAGATTAGATTTCGGGAGATTCGAACTTCGAATTTCAAGGGAGATGATTATAATATAATAGGGGAAAATGGTAAATAGAACAACAATGGAATAAAAAACCAAGCAAAACAGAGTGTACAGCTCAAAAATACAATTTTTAGAGCGGTTTAGAAGAAATCGAAGGAATCTGGCTCGTTGATTCCTGCGAAAGGATCCTCCTCATATGACGGGGTTTCAGGAGAAGCTGGCTCCTCGAATTGGATAGTTTCCAATGGTTCGGCACGTGACATGAAAGCATCGGAGAGAGAAGGTCCCTGAAATCAGAACTGTGTTGGAAATGTATTGGTTTTCGGTACGGAATTCCGACCGATTTATTTTTTCGGAATTTGAGGTTATCGGACTACGGTATGATTTTTGTCCGACGCCGATGAACCTTGTGGCCGACAATTTATTTAAAGGAGGCCAGACATGAAAATTTTCAAAATTCTATTTTTTTATATATGCCACAGTACAGTCAGAAAATAACAATGGACACAAAACCATAACTCCTTGTTACTGTACAAGCGAAAACGCGACCGTTCTTCCAACCGGCGCCCACTCCTCGTTTCATAATCGTTTTAGAGGTAGAAGCCGACAAGCGCTGTGTAGTGTGAAGGTGAGCGTGCTTGTCTATCAGTCGTGCATCGCGGTTCGACTTCTGTATGTGCGTTTTCGTTTTTTTTTCTTTTTTCATGCGGCGACATCCTAGAATGGACGAATAACGAGAAAAAGTCGGGAATAAGTGCCAAACAGTAAAGAAATCTAGTGTATGCTAAAAAAAATAAATGCTCGTCAAGTAGCGTGCGTTGGTCGCAATCGCACGATTTTCCGTCAGAATACATGATCTCGCCCTGAGAAAACCCCGTAGACTTTCGTGTCTGGCCTCCTTTAAAGGCGCATAGCCGGTCCTGAAGAGGAAACGGCTACGGTTTTTACAAATAAATCCGTGCGCCTTTAATACAGTACTTCGAAATTATTATTTGGCCCGTTTTAGGCAATTTTTTTTTGCTAAAAACTAGCTCAAATTTGATGAAATTAAAAGATTTTCATAGATTCTGAACAATAATTCTAGGAATTTTTCAATAAAAAATTTCGGAAAAAATGGCTGGAAAAATAAAAGGACGCACTCTAATTGAAGGGTTCTCCGGAGGCACTTTGGAACAACCGGTCCTTCTAATACAGGTTTTCCGGTACTTTTTTGCCGTTTTGCGCACATTTTTTCGAGATTTTGCAACGAAAAAATGAGATTTTCAATCGAAAATCCTTGAAAATCCGTATTTTTAACATTGAAAAATCTTACAGCAGCGTCGTTTGCCATTTCAAACGCATCGAATTCCTTCAAAGCACTTTCAGGGTCATATTGGTTGCAAACTGTGTTTACTTGAGCAATTTGTTGTTGTGGTGCTTGTTGCATAGAATTGTCCAGAACAGGAACTGCTGGTCGCTTGCGATAAGCTCTCGGCTTTTTCGGCGCTGGCTTTGGCTTCAGAACATCCGCTCTGATTTTGTAGATTTTTCGTGCAGAGCCTGGAACTGGCTGAGGGACTGTAATTGGTACTGGTTGCTGCTGAACATTATGAACCATCGGTGGCATATGTGGTGAGAGTGGTTGCGATTGAATCATCGGGGATACGTGGGGTGGAAGAAATGAAGATGGTGCTAGTGGAACCAGTGGAGGTGGTGTTGCTTGCTGTTTCTCAGTCATCTCAAATGTGAAAAATTGTAATTTAAAGTTGAATTAATAAACCCTTACCGTTTGTTTCTGAACATCCTCTATTTGTGTCTGGGACAATGGACTATGGTAGCGACTCTCCGGAATTTTAAAGTCAGGATCTGTGAAGATGCGGACGAGAAGCGATTCCTGTTTTGGGACCTGCGGAGAAATTGGAGGAACATCACTCTGCGGTCTTGACGGCTGACCAGTTAGCAAGCTTCGAAGTTGGGGTCTATCGACTTTAGGATTCACCGAAGGTGGTCCTTTTGGTGGTCCAGCCAGTGGACTCATGGGATATTGAGTCTGGGCAAGCATTGGAATCGGAGACTGCGGTGGAGCTTGCATCTGTTGATACCCATTTGTTGCAAAGTTCTGAAGAGGTGGTCCAGGGCTCATTGGATAGTTCTGTGTAGGCTGGAAAAGCATTTGTTGCGTGATTGGCATGAAGAGAGGCGATTGAACATTCGGGGATTGTGCTGGAACATTCTGTTTACACCCATTCGTAGAAAAACCTTGAACAGCTTGTGGAGAAGCAGCTGGCATCGCTAGAGGGGAGATTTCCCTTGGTACCTTCGGCGCTCTAGGCTTTGACGATTTTTTTGGCGCTTTTTTTGGCATCACTGATAGTTGCTCTGGCTGGGGTGGAAGTGGCGGCTGCGAGGCAATTTGAATGACATCCGGATAATCATGAGATGCTTCTGATCTAGCTCCAGATCCACGTTTCTTGGCTTCTTCCATTCTTTGAATAGCTAGAAGACGGTTTCGAGTTCCCTCTTTTAGAAGATCCTCTGGTATCTGCATTGGCAATTCTTTTTGCATGTCAATGTAGAAGGTTTCCAAGTTTATAAATGGGTGATGGAAGGATGTGGATTCTGAAAAAGGGAATCCGAGTTAGGAAGAGATCTTATGGACGGATTATGGTCAGGTTCTGGTCGAAAATTTCCCAAAAACGGCTCTATGGCGGACCTTGGCCAGATTTTGGTCGGAAGTTGAAAATTGAAACTTTACTAGGTCAGAACCTTGGGCACTTAATGCAGAGAGTAATTCGAGAGTACAAAAGGGTACAGAGTGGTACAAAATCTGGATTTTTCAGGTGTTCTGTACCCCAAAATTTTTTCACACTCCGAATTATTTGCCAGAACTTTTCCATAAATTTTCCGGAGTCTGGTCAGCTTTAGTAGTGGCCTTGTCCGGAATGTGACCAATTTTCGCCCAAAGGTTGCCAGAAAACAAAAACTAACTTTTGACTTCTGGAGTCGGCTGAATTATTGGAGCGTTTGGTGATGTCTGATTTGACTGATAAACTTCAATGACATCCGGTGATGAAGCAGATGTCGATGAATCTGTGGCTTCATAAGATGCTTCTGAATTTCGAAGATTCCGGTATTTCCAATGATCTTCATTCCCTTGATGTGACATAACATCAGCCATTGCTTTCTTGTTAGCCTAAAAATTAACAGATACTGTACATGAAAACTGCGATGACAACAACAAAAAAAAGAAGAGAAGAGCAATTACTCACTTTTCGAGAACGAGGTTTTGGAGGTCCTCGAAGGGCGTCTCCTACCGATAGGAATGAGAATCCATTGATTGGAACCATTGTTTATTGTTTATTACCTGAAGACAAACTAGATGAGGGAAGACCAGGTGGACCTCTATAAGAAGGCAAACATTTGAATAAGGAGAACCGCTTACCATTTTCCCGGGGGAATATTAACAGGGCCCGTCGCATGCAAAGGTGCTCTACCGTTACGTGTTCGCGACACCCAGCTATGGACCGTTACGGTTTGAATTCATGCGGGTGAGTGTTTGCGGACGAGATGGAAGAGCTAACGGTTCTTAAAATGCAGAAATCGATTGTAGGGGAGATGGAAGGGAAATATAAAGGTGTGGAGAAGGAAATGGGGAAAGGCCTTTCGAAAGGAAATGAAATTGGTATCAGGAAATTGGATGGATATCGGTGCCAATAGTGTTTATATGTTGTGGCTGGCTTTGGGGTCGTTCGTTGTCAAGAAAACGAGTTTTTTTTTGAAAAATAATCTGATTCATTAGATTCCAAAATGAAAATTACAGTTTGTAACTAAAAATAACTATTCCTGAAGAGATATGTTAACTTTTAGAAGCGATTTTGTCTGAAAATCGCCAAAAGCCAAAGCTTCAAAAAACAAATTGAAAGTTTTGTGCAAAAATCGAGATTTGCCCATTTGAATTTGTTTTTTATTCACAGGTGAAGCGATAAATAACTATATTATGCGAATGCGCCAAAGATGAAAAAAATATATGTATCAAAATATATGTCCGAAATAGTCAGCAATGGAAGTTCTCTGTTGATTTATCAAAAGTTCCTTTCTCACTATAAAATGCCAATAACAATATCATTTATTCAATTCTTTACGAAAATTTTTAAATCAACTTCAGATAATTTCAATCCGAGAGAAAAAAGTTAATCTTTAACCGACTTGGGATTGTGACAGTTCCAGCTGGAGTGACGGCAGCGAAAGCAGCTTGAACATCAGTGGCATCAGCTGGGGCGTTGGCGAATTGGATGACGAGCTTATGGGGTGATACGGTACTCATTGTTGTTTGACTACTTGATCTTGAAGATCAACTTCTCGGCTCTCCAATTAACCAATTTGTGGGTCGAGGTTCCTCCGGCGGCTGGAACGGTGCATGCTGGTGGATCGTCGATCAAATATTTTTGGCTTCGATTGGAACTTCCTATAGAAGACTCCAACACAGTACGACACTTTTGAAACCTTAACTATCCGTAAGCTGATACGTAAGATGAAAACACTTGAGTTGAGAGTCAATTTTCAAATACTGAGTACATTCACAAGCTCAGGGATTAAATAGATCAGTTGTTTTATCTTTTCTCACTTATTTTATCAAAGAAAACCCAAAAAAAAAAAATAAACAGCTGAAAAGTATTATTTGTTTCAGAGAAACTTGAAAATGAAAATCGCGAACGGATGAATGGCGGCTGAGTGGCGGATGAAGACCGAGCGATGGAGCAGCAGTGGCGTAACCAAGTGTTTAGTAACAGTTTTATTCTGATACAAAAATTGGAGCTGTGGAAGGGAAAATCGTAATCTAAAATGTTCTGTTTTCAGTCCTTATTTTCTCGTTTTTCACAGATTATTATCGACTTTTCTGTTATTTTCCCCAAAAAAAAGTCTGAAAATCAAAATTGATGTTAGTGAAAAAATTGACTGAAAACGCACGAAAATAGAGAAAATAAATCCGGAAAATAAAGTATTTTTTAGATTACTGTAGTTGTCGTTTTGTGACCTTGTTGATTCACCACCCAGTCTTCATCCGCTACTCAGCCGCCATTCGTCCGTTCAGACTGAACAGGTCTCGTTGTTCAAGTTTAGGTTACAATTTGACGGGCTCAATAGGAAAAGTGTCTTTCAACTTTTTGTTTATAAATTCATCAAGAGTAAGAAGTAATCTTTTGTTCATGGTTTTTGCATCTTCATTCACAAACATGCATAGTTATTCGTTTCAGATTCCATACCTTATTTTCTCAAAGATCAGAGGTTGGCAGGCAAGCGCCGACTTGTCAACTGAAACCATTTATCCCAGTTCCTGTAAAAGATATACAAAATCTGTAAACTAATAAAATGTTTTTCATGATATCACCAATTGTTTATCAGTTGAAATCTTTTTGTTATCTAGTTAAAAGAGCGAGATATATCAACTCAAAGTTAGGAGGTCGGCAGCGTAGCTCAGCCGGCAAGCGCCGAAGTGTCAACGAAGTGTTGGAGGCTATTTATCTCGGTTCTTGTGAAAGATATGTCATCTGATAAAATATTTATCATAATATCACCAATTTTTTATTAGTCGACTAATTTTTGATTTCTTGCAGAGGAACTGGGATAATTGAGCTGAAACTTGAGAGTATAGAGGTACTTCAATTCAAATTTGTTTTTTTTCTTCTGAACTTCGATGAATGGATCCGTTTTTCTAGATTTGATGCCTACATTTTCGTTTCTTTTTTTGCTATTTCACAAAAAAGAGAACTCATATAAATTTATAGATCTTTATGTAACCAGAGAAAGGCGACTGAAATTGAAAAACACATAAAATAAAGTTAGTTTAAAAAACGGGATTAGAGAGACTGCGAATTTAGCTAATTGGGGGATTGTTAGTGAATGGAAAATTGAGCAATTGACTTTAAAGTGTTTTGAAAATTAAATTAGAAAAGTACATGAAAATATAAGAGCGCTTTGAGGATCAAATCGGTGGTTTTGGGGGAAATAAACAATATCTTACAAATTTGGGAATTTCGAAAAAGAGATTTTTGAGCCGGAGAGAAAATCGGAAAAGTTGAATTCTAATAAAACTTAGAATCAATACGAAAAAATGGGGAAAACGAGTTCAATAGGAACCTGTAATACGAGGAGAAAATTCGAAACATGTAGCACTTTTTAAAACCAAGAAGTAGAGACTAGAGTCAACAGAGAAAACATGTGAAAGATGGGAGAGTGAGAAGAAGCACCAGATTGAGGGAAAACTTGAGCAAACTTAGCGAAAGAAAAGTGATTTAGGCCTGTGGTTGGGGAGGCGGAGCGACTGCAACAGGAGTCGACGGAGCAGATGGAGGGGGCGGAGCCTGAGGAATTCCATGATTTTGATGTTGCGGTGGCGGTTGTGGCAAATGATGAAGTGGCATCTGATGCATTTGCTGTTGTTGTTGCTGCTGGTGATGCATCTGCATTTGCATCATTTCTTCATGCTGCTGCTGTTGTTGGTGATGCTGCTGCTGCTGCTGCATTTGCATCTGTTGCATATGGTGTTGCTGCATTTGTGGATGCATCTGCATGTGGCCTGGATGTCCTGGATGCCCTTGCATCATCATTTGAGCATTCGGATGTTGTTGTTGTTGTTGCATTTGTTGGTGTTGTTGAAGAGTCATTTGCTGCTGTGGATGAGGTGGTGGTGGCATGGCTTGTGGTCCCGCTGCCTTTGCTTTCGATGTTCGTGGCTTTCGATTCGATTTCGCCTGCAACTGAAAATTATTTTTGTTAGGGGGTTCGGGGTTAGACAAAAGAGAAGAAATTTGGTTAGTAGGTATTATTCTGATACAGAAAATCGGAGCTGCGGAAGAGAAAAACATGTGGGCGTGGCCAACGATTCCCAAACCACCGAATACCAAAAATTTCGATTTTCTTTTCTCGATTACTATTGCTTTTTCACAATATTCCTGTTCAATTGTGGCAGGCTGGCCGTGACCGAGACCACCAGACTTTCTCTTCCACAGCTCCAATTTTTGCGTACCAGCATACCGTAAAACCTGTAATAGAAGGGCCTCTAACTTCGAGCCAATTGTTCTCGATCCCTGTTAAAGATGTAAAAAAGTGGTCAATTGATAAATTGTTCATCATAACTCCAAAACTATTTTATCAGTTGATCCATTTTGATATCATGCACAGGAGACAAGAAAAACTAGCTCAAAATTGTCAGTGTGAGAGCCCTGCTATTACAGGTTTCTCGGTAATATTTCTTAGCAAATTGAAAACTTTCAAGAACTAACCTTCGTCTTGCTCTCCGCCGCTGCCTTGATCTTCTTATCCTTCTCGCTTATCGTTTTGGCGAATTCAGCAATTTTGGCATCGTTCGGATCGTCAGTCAACTCGTTCTTCATCATTTGCGGCTGCATCATTCCCATGGGTGGCTGTTGTTGGGGATGTTGAAGCGGTTGGGGTTGTTGACGACGAGCACCGTTTTGGAATTTCGGCTGAAAAATTTAAAAAATTATTCAAAATCTTCAGATTTCAAAACTGCTCCTTATAAACTGCAAAAATGCTCACCTTTACCTCGTGTCCTCCATTAACCATCCTCATCGGACCTCCTGGACCAGATGGCATCCCATTTGGCTCCATCCGATTTGCTCCATGAAACGCGTGAGCTCTCATATTGTGCTCATGTGACAGATTCCCTGTAACGCAAGGAGCTACGAATGTTAGAAGTCAGCGTTTGCTCTTCGAATGATAAAAACCCCTGATAGGGACTCGACAGAAGAAGATAGACCGAAACAAAATCAGTAACCAACCACTACACATGACCAAAAACTGAATACAAATCACAAAAACGATATATAGATAGTTTGGGGACCAGTTTCATTTTGCATTCTCTTTTCTGACAAGTCCCAATAATGTATACTTACTTCCTCCGGGGCTTGCAGTTGGCAGTTGTGAATTCAGTGAGTGATTGCCACGTGGATCGGTTAGAGCTGCCACTTCAGCACTATTCGGTCGGCCGCGGCCAGCGCGGGCGACACTTTCTACGACTTCCATGATTGAAGCGGCTAGCCTATCGTTTCGATCTGCGTCTTCTCCGTTTGACGTGCTCGGCGCTGCTGGAGGGTTGTCTTGAGAATTTTCCATTGGTTCGATGTCAAGTTCTCCGAGGTCACCAAGGTCTCCAAGATCAGCCACTGGAAAAATATAGAAATTGTTATATGTGTTAGATAAGGATTTCAACTTACATGGCTCCGAACAATTCAGCAACTGATCCACCATCGTCTTCTCTCCCTGGTCACCTGACGCGTTCTGTTGATGCTGTTGACCTGGCGGTGGAGCCGATGGACCCGCCTGCGATGGTCCCGGTTGCTGTGGTACAGATTGCCCTGGTCCAAATGGAGTATGACTACCCGAATAGACACTTGCCGACGAGTCGCTGCGTTGGAATCCATGATTAGGAGTAAACTGTCCCGATTGAGGTGTATTCTGACCTCCTTCTCCAGATGATGTCCCTGGCGGCGGTGCAAACTCTCCGGATAGCCGATGTTGAATTGATGGCGGTGGTGGCTGGTTGGGAGTGTGTTGTTGCGGTTGGGTTGGTGGTTGGTTCGCATCTGGAGGAAGTTGATTCGTGCCTGGAGGATATGGAACTGGGAGTTGGCGTTGCTGGGGTGGCCATTGACCCATTGGTGGCTGCTGCTGTCCCATTGGTTGCGGAGGACCTTGCTGACCTTGTTGCTGCTGTTGTTGTTGGAACATGGCAATCCTTTGCTGCTGCTGCTGGTGCCACATTTGCTGCTGTTGTGGCGTCGGCGGAGGTCCTCCTGGATGGAATCCTGGAGGGAATCCTCCCTGAGGTGGCATTCCTGGAAACTGCTGTCCCGGATATCCCGCTTGCCCTTGATGCATCATCTGTCCTTGTTGTTGCTGATGCTGCATCATTTGCTGTTGCTGCTGTTGACCATAATACGCCTGCATTTGTTGCTGTTGCTGCTGTTGTTGCTGCTCCAACGCCGCCGCTGCAGCTGCCTCTTTCTGCTTCTTCGTGGGACGCTTTTTCTTTTTCGGCGGCTCCGCAATCGGAGCATCCTGTTGTTGCTGTTGAGGAGCCGGTTGCTGTTGTTGGGGTGGAGGACGGAACTGTTGAGGTGGTCCCGGATTGCCAGGATACGATGGTATCCTCTGGATCATCTGGCCTTGAGGTCCATGGAACATCTGTGGTTGGCCCATTCCGAATGGGGGTGGACCCATTGGCCGACCAGGGGTTCCTGGTGGTGCTCCTGGCTGTCCAGGAAAGAACCCTGGCGTTCCTGGAACTGGCGTGGTTGGTGGCTGACCTGGCGGTCCTTGCTGCTGGGCTTGCTGTTGTTGAAGCATCGCTTGATGCTGCTGCTGTTGCATCATCCGCTGTTGGTACTGTGATAGGGCGAATTTAGTTTATAAACTAACATAAAATAATAGGGATACCTGTTGCTGCTGTTGTTGTTGCTGTTGAATCGCTGCCATCTGCTGTACCGTCATTCCTTGCGCATACTGTGGTGGTGGTTGCTGTGGTTGACCACCTTGGTTCGGATTAGAGAGCAAAGTCACGAGAAGCGGACTACTTGAAGCTTGTGCTTGCTGTTGTTGCTGGTGTATCCTTTGTTGTTGTGGATTCATTGGCGGATGTTGTTGTGGATTCATTCCCATTGCGACTTGTTGTTGCTGCTGTTGCTGAGGTGTTAACGGAGGACCAGGCTGACCTTGTGGACCTATCGGACCCATTTGTACAGGTTGAGGAGTCATCTGCTGGGATTGTGGTGTTCCGGGAACCGGTGTTGGGTGTCCACTCGAACTGGATAGCTCCTGTTTGATCTGAGATGCTGACATCGGACCAGAAATTGGTCCTGACAGCGGTCCAGGAGCGAATCCTTCTCTTGCTCTCATTTGGGCGAATTCTTCAGCAGTCATCTGACGCATTCCAGGATGCATTTGATGAGGGTGTGGTTGAACTCCAGGCGGATAATGCGGTGGCATCTGTTGTGGATGCATCGGATGTTGTGGCATCGGTTGTGGAGTCGGCTGAGGTTGCGGTGTGAATTGGGACGGTGGTTCTTGTTTGATTTGGAAATTCGGATGTCCTTGCGCGCCAGGATGATGAGGTGGGAGTAGCTGTTGTGGAATAGCACCCATTGGATGACCGGCATGAGCATGTCCAGGATGAACCGCTTGTGGTAGCATATGCTGAGGAACTTGACAAGGAGGTGGTTGTTGATGAGGAATCATTGGATGACTCAATGAAATCAATTCCCGTGATCGATCCAGAGATGATCCACACGGACTCCTTCTCTCCATTTCGGGAGCAACTGGAATCGGGATAGGAGAACCATCGGGAATTCGAATCGTTTCACCATCGGCGATCTTCAAAGAACTCAGACTTATCCTTCTTAACGTCGACGGCTGGAAGTTGGCTATCCGTTTTAATCGTTGTGCTGCTTTTTGGGGTAATCGAATGGTGTATCGTAGTTTTCGCAGTGGATTACTTGGTGGCGCTGGTGACGACGTCATCGTGACACCGGGAACTCCGGATGAGGTACTCGGAAGGACACCGTCTTGAGTTGGGCCGTTTTCTACTATACTGGGTTCGTCGATGACAGCGGGTGGAGGAGGAGAAGGAGGGTGAGGAGGACAGGATTCTTCTGAAAAAAAAAAGTTATTGGGTTACTGTAGATTTAAAAAACCAAAACTCACCTTCAATTTGAGGTTCAGGTTCTTTCGATGGTCCAGGTTCAGAGCAATGCTCTGGTTCTTCAACTGGCTTCTCTTCCTCTTTTTCCTCCTGTATCCTATCTTCCTCCTTTGGTTCCACGACTGGTTCTGAAAATAGAGAAATATAAGTTTTTTTTTCAGAATTTTTTGAATTTTCAACAGAGCGCAACTGCATCAACGCCTCTATACGGCTAATAGACTTGAAAAGTAGAGTACGAGAAAAAGAGTGAGCGCAGAGAAAACAGAGAAAAACTTGCCAGGCGGGTTCCCCCGTCTATGGAAAAATACATGGGGGTGGAGAGAGATAGTGGATCTGTGAGATTTGAGAAAGCGATGGAATCCAGTAGATCAAAATGAGTTGCAAGTTTATTTAGCGCCGAGAAAAAGATTTTGATGGGAGGGAGATATCATATGTTGATTTATGCATGTCTGTGCTATTTTGATAGCTCCGATTTCAAAAAAATTGGGAATATTCGGATTTCGAAATTCTCGGAATTTAAATAAATCAGATTTTTATGAAGAAATTCCATTTTTCCGTCACAAAAACGACGAGGATAGGTGAAAAATTGATAAGAAGATCTCGAAAACGAAAAAATCCAGTCAGAATTTTCGGAATTCTGTTCCGAACATCCCTAGCAGCGTCGTGCACAAGTTCGGAAAGAAAAGAGAAGAGAGTGTGAGAGACGAAGAGACGGAGAGAAACGGAATTCGGAAAGCGCGTAACGGAAGCACTGATTTCACGACGAATCCAGAAAAGGAAGCGCGAAGAATTAAGCTAACAAGTCGACTGTTTTTTATGAACACTAAATTCATTTATTTAGCGCAACAGGTGACAATTAGAGTGTAACAGTGTAACTAGAAAGCAAGGGAAAATGAGCAAAATGCGCTGGACATCTGTAACCAAAGTCGGAAAAAGGTGATAAATGAAGCTGCGACGAAGAACAAACAGGGTTTCACCAACCGGCGCCCTTCTCCGAGACAAAAATGATGATTTTGGGGCCAGAAAAAAAAACAAAATTCACAGGTTCCCGCTCGGTTTTTTGGTGCAGTTTATTTCGCCACAGATTTTCTATTGGTTACGGCGGAATATTCAAATTTTAAATATTTTTAGAATTTGAAGTTCAGGGATGTTCGGAATGGTCTTTTCTGAAATTTTCGGATCGGAATGTTGAAAATCCCGATTTCAAAAGTTTCAGAATTCCCGAATATTCCGATTTTGAAATGTTCGGAATTCCGCAAATTTTGAAAAATTTGGATTTTAAAGTTGAAATATGATTTTCCCATCAGAAAAATATCAAAAAACGGGTGAAAATTGACAGAAAAAGATTACAAAAACGAACAAAAACATCAAAAGTAATTCCGTTCGAGACCCGACGTCATTTTTTTTGTGTGCGCCTTTAACGTACCGTAGTCCAAAAAATCTTTCAAAAAAGTTTCCGGTTGGAATTTTCGGAATTCCGTTTTGAATATTCATGTTTAAAGGTTTGAAAAAGCGAATAACCGAAAGAGACTTCGGTGATATTATGAGAAACATGTTATCAGTTGACAGATTTTTAATATAGGAAAAGTCAATTGAGCTCAAAGTTACAGGTTTTATGGTAACTGGACTCAATAACAAACAAAAAATTAAGCTCACCTGGACTCCATCGTTCCACTACTGGGTTTTCTTCTTCTTTTTCCTCTTCTTTTTCGATTTTTGAATCTTCTTCTTCCTCAATTTTCGCTTCTTCATCATCATCTCTAACTGTCTCATTTTGAACATCTTCTGAAGGAGGTTCTGGTATCTTCTCCGGAGAATCCTTCACCAGATTCTCTTCTTCTTTCTCTCCTTCACCACCAACAACTCCAGAATTCGAATCCTCCGCCGCGTCGTCTCCAATCGTATCGTCCTCAGCTGATGATTCGAGCGGTGCGAAGGTGTTGGTCGTTGTGGGGGTACTGGCACACGACGTTCCGCCTTCTGAAGTCATCGAAAGTTCAGCAAATGGACTTCTCAACGACTCACCAATTCCAGATGAAGAGGTGGACAGGGAGGAGAGTAGTGCTGTCGCTGACGACGGACGCACTATGTCTCCCACCTTTTCGATGTCTGCAAAATTATCGATTTTTCGAGATTTGGGTTTTATAAGGGGGCTGGATTCTAGGGAAGGGATATGGACTGGTATTGGGGTAGTTTAAACTTCAAAATTTGAAGTGCAAAGGTTTCAATTGATTCATGAAACTTAATTAAATTGGTTGGGATATAAATTAATTAGAAATTATTCATTTCAAAATTTATGAAAATCAGGAGATCATTTGAATTCATAAGCTTTTAAAAATCATCCAGAAAAGACTACTTGTAGTCTTGAAGTCCAAGAAAAAAGTTTGAAAATTAGGAAACTAGATAATTAGGAGACCAATTAAGACTTACTAGACTGAAGCGGGGGTGTGCGTGAGTGCGGAATTGTGGACCACGTTGAGGAAGCCGCAGAAGAAGTAAGTGCTGAGGCAGACGCTGCACCCCGCATCGACCGACACGACCATAAAGCGCCAACTATTTTTTCTGAAATTTTCTGAAAATTGTATAATTAACAAATGATCATTTTGACATAGTTCAACTTTAATTTAAGAGGTAATAGAGGAGAAAATTTCATCCAGAAACTGTAATTCTGGAGAAGAAAAAGAGGAAGAAGACAGTAATCCAGTTTGAATGGGGATGACTATAAGAAGAAATTTTGGTCATTTTTTAAGAGAAAATTGTCTTATCAAAATGAAAATAATCATGAATTTTAAAGGGTGAGAAATTTGAAAAGATTCTGGGTCAAAAACGATGAAAAACCACCGTACTACTGGGCGCCAAAACTAGATACTGTGCGCCGCAAGGAAGTGCACGAAAATCGATAAGTGGGCGGAGTCGGGATGTAGAAATTGGAGAATGGGCGTTAAAATAGAAGTAAGTGGGACCTCGTCATGTCTGAAGTTATGAAATCTGAAAATCAGAAGGCGTGGTCAAATGACGCCATCTCCAGAAGTTCACTGCCCGGCGGCACCAAAAGAACGGCGGACACTCACAGTCGTAATGCAGCCGCGACGCGCCTTGTCCGCGTCGCGGTCGTCGAATTGAGTCTCTCTGCCCCGATTACTCAGTTATGTGTGCATTCGCGCTCCATTGAACCTGTTTGAGTGGGGAGTGTGTTTGCGGTCTCGCATACAGTAGGTCTGGAGAATAATGTGTTGTTCTGTGTCTGGTTTAAAGTTGCTTCTTTCAAGTGGTAAACAGATTTTATTGAGCACAGATTATAGACAAATTGACAACAGATATAAATATCAGCAGGTAAAAATAGAACTTGTTTGAAACTCCGAAAAAAAAAACAATTCAGAAAAAATCCATCTGGAGAAGTTAAACCTGAAAATCTAGTTAAAAACCTGAAATCCCAGAAAAACGTGGTTCATTGAATCTGAAGTACTATGATAAAAGGATTTAAAAAAAAGTAAAATTGAAAGAAAGATCCTGAGGGATTACTGTAGCAGATACTAAAATATTACTGTACAAAATCTGTATCAAAAATAAATATTCAAAAATAGACGAATAAATATCAGGAGAATAAATAAAACTAAAATTCACAAATTTTTAGTTATAGAATTTCCGGAATAAGGCATTTCGAAATCTGATTTTGAAACACCAAACATGGGAAAAAGAGAACTTTGAATTCCAAAAAAATGCCCTGGTCCCCTGGCGCCAGTTTGTCTTCATCTATAATTCTGAACTTTTCTAAAACCCTTTTTATCATCTTCTTCTTCTTCTTCTTCTTCTTCTTCTTCTTCTTCTTCTTCTTCTTCTTCTTCTTCTTCTCCCACGCACACACACTGAAAACAAGTGTTACCGTATACCGTCTGGCGGTCTCAACTAGACTTTCGTGTCTGCGCCCTCTCTGATCATTGAAAAACCTATAGAAATCCTAAATTTCCGACCGCTTTTTTGCTTTTTTGTTTAAAAATTCAAGTTTTTAGAGTTTTTTGCTGAAATTAATTAAATTTTTGTAGATTTACACTAAAAACTTTGTTGGGGAGGTTTCGATTCCAGGAGGAATAAAGTCGAAGATTTTAGAAATTTGTTCATTCATTGGGTGACCTGGTTTTTCGTTCAAATTGACTTTTTTGAGAATTTCAAAGTTCTAAATAATAAAATAAGGCATTGTCTGTGTTTTAAACTTAAATTTGGTATCAAAAAGTAACAGCTATACACCGTAAACCCTCTATGACTTTCCTAATAGTTAACTTTGAGCCAATATATCTCAATTATTCTAAAAGATATAAAAAATGTGTTAACTGACAAAATGTTTTTGATATTATGATAACCATCTTGTTAGTTGATCACTTTTTGATATCTTTCACAGGAACCGTGATAAATGCCCTCAAAGTTGACAAATCGGCGGTTGCAGGCTGACCTACGCGGTCGGCTGCAGACGTCTCAAGTTTGAGTCTTTATATCTTGGCCCTTTCAAGAGATATCAAAAATTTGTCAACTAATAAAATATTTTTCATATTGTGATAAACATTTAATCAGTTGACAACTTTTTGATATCTTTCACAAGAAACGAATTATAGGTGCTCAAAGTGGACGGTCGTCCTATTAACATTAATTTCTCAGCTGAAATAATCCTTTTTCTTGTACTTTTTACTTATTTTTAAAGGTGTACTGTATTCTAAGTTATTCGAATTTTGCAGCCATGAAGTACTTGGGAGCTTATCTCCTCGCCAACCTCGGTGGAAACGCCTCCCCATCAGCCCAAGATGTCCTCAAGGTCCTCGGTGAGTTGTTTGCCTTTTTCAAATTTTCAAAAAACCAATTATGTATTTGAAAATTACTAGAACATATAGTTTCGAGTGTTTCGGGTTGATCTGGTATCAAATGACCTGGAATTTCCATCCTGAATATAGTTTCGGTGTGAATTTTGAATCAAATAAAGTCAAAGTTCTCAAGATTCGAAAAAATATTTCTAGCAAATACATAATTTTCAGAGGCCGGAGGTCTTGACTGCGACATGGAGAACGCCAACTCCATCGTCAACGCTCTCAAGGGAAAAACCGTCGCTGAGGTGATCGCCGAAGGAAAGGTCAAGCTCAGCTCGGTCCCATCAGGCGGATCCGCCCCAGCCGCCGCTGCTCCACCCGGAGGAGCTGCCGCACCAAAAGGTAAGGGACTTATTTTTTAAAAATCTAATTAATTTTTCAATTCTTTGCAGCCGAAGAGAAGAAGAAGGAGGAGCCAAAGGAGGAATCCGATGACGATATGGGCTTCGGTCTCTTCGACTAAACTCGTTGTTAAAATTGTTATTTGTCATTTAATGAATGACTTGACTTTTATTGGTTTTTTGTTGAATACATAATTACGGAAAATACAGTAATTTAGAAAATTGGTCAAGATCCGAGATTGTGTTTTAAAAAAAGAAAATTGCAAAAAACAATTTTTGAATTGAAAAAAAAATCTGAAAACGATGAAACCGAAAGTTGGATTACGGTAGTTACAGATTCAAAAGTGGTTTAAAAATATTCAAAAGTATTCAAAAGTGGTTTAAAAATGAGAAAACTACGATAATGTTCTGAAACATTTGTCTAATTCTAAATTTGAAACTAATTGTAAGAAAATTCCTGTAACTACGATATTCTCTAAAAAAGAACATCGTATATCGTAAATGCTTTAATAGAAGCCTATCCTCTGCACGAGCTTTTTCAGCTCAATTATCTCGGTTCCTTTGAAAGATCAAAAAGTTATCAACTGATGAAATATATATTGAATATTTTATCAGTTCACGCTTTCCCATAGAACATTTCCGAAATCACTTGGGTTCAAGCGAGAGGGTCAGAAAGCGCGCCCCAGTAAATTTTTCAAAAATTCTCAATTCGCTGCCGAACTTCGTTGGCTGAGTATCACAGTTTTAAACGATGAGCAAAAATACGCGCGTTGCCACCCGTTGATTTTTAAGAAATAGATCATGATCTAGTTCAAACCCGCGTTCATTTTAAAATTATTAA